TATTAGGGGCGTGGTTAACCGAGGGCGGAGCTTGGAAATGAGCGGGACAATTAGGGGCGTGGTTAATCAAAGGCAGACTTTATACTAGGCGGGGCAAATAGGGGCGTTGTTAATCGAAGGCAAATCTTAAAACTGGTCAGGGCAATTAGAAACATGGTTAACCAAGGGCAGACTTTGAAAGTAGGCGGTACTATTAGTAGCGTGTTTAATCGAGGGCGGATCTTAAAAATGGGCGTTACAATTAGGGGCGTGGTTAATCAATGACGGACCTTTGAAATAGTCAGAACAATTAGGGGCGTTCTTAATTGAAGATGGGACAATTATGGACGTAATTAACATAAACTAAATCTTAAAAATGGGCGTTACAAAATTGTGGGCGTAGATAACCGAAGGTGGACCTTGAAAATAGGCGGGACAATTAGGGGCGTGATTAATCAAAGGCGGACCATGGAAGTAGACAATACAATTAGGGACGTGGGTAAGTGAACGCGGTTATTAAAAATGGGCGGAGCAATTAGGGGCGTAGGTAACCGAAGTTGGATCTTGAAAATAGGCGGGGCAATTAGGGGCGTGATTAATCAAAGACGGACCATGGAAATAGACTGTACAATTAGGGGCGTGGTTAATTGAACGCGGGTTATTAAAAATGGGCGGACCAATTAGGGGCGTGGTTAATTGAAGGAAAAATTTGGAAATGGGCGAGACATTTGGAGGCGTGGTTAATCAAAGGCGGCTACTAAAAATGGGCGGAGCAATTAAGGGCGTGGTTAATTGAAGACTGAGCTTAAAAATAAAAATTATACATATAAAATACATGGAGAATGTATCGCTCGAAAATGTGGAAAAAACATTTTTTTTTTAAATAAAACATTAATTTTTCTATCAATAAAACTTTACATTGATCTTTGTGAAAAAATTTACCTTTCATTGAACTAAAAAGTAAAAATACTATTCTATTACATTGAATTATTCATTTTTTTTTCTCCCAATTTTATCATCCAAATCAATGGATAAATTTTGTGTGTGATTCACTTGAGCGCTTCTCTTTCCTTTCTATATATTGATTCACTTGGTGAAAATAAATTTGCCCTTGGCATTGAATATATAAGGGTGAATCGTTCCAATAATGGATTTTTTCTTTTTTTTATCTTTCTCTCTCTCTCTCTCGCTCTATTTATACATATATATTTTTTCCATTTTGACAGATGTTATTGGACGATAGACTCCTATTCTGATAGTTTAGTATATATATATAGTATAAACTCTTTGAAAGCGGAAGTTGCCGATATATATATATATATATATAAGTCAGTTGACGAGCAATTATCGCTGGATCGTTATCTACAGGAAAAAGGAAAGGAAGGCTCTCGATATTGTGCAATAATAATTGATCAATAAAAGTGAAATGTTTAAAATGTTCAGCCCATATTTTTTTTTTTTTTGAGGGCCAATTTTTTTAGAGTGTGAATTGAATATTATAAATGAATTCTTGAAAGATATTTTTTTTTTACTAGCTTTCAATTACCAAAAAAAAAAAATTGTTCATTTGAAGAAAAAAAAGTCGAGAATTTGAAAATTGGATAATTTTTTTTATCTCAGACTTGCGGACAATTGGGCGCCATTTAGATTGAAATCATAAGAAAAAAAATATCAGTAAAGTAAAAAAAAAAGAAAATTGTATTTTCACGAGAAAAATAAATTTTTGAGATAGAATACAATTTTTTTTTGGGATAAAATTGAGAACATAATTTTATCTGGGAAATGGTTTTAATATACATATATATATATATATATATATATATATATATATATATATATATATATATATATATATATATATATATTTGTATGAGTTCAGTTATACCATAACTTTATTTCGCATCTCGTATTTCGTCCTCTTTCAATCAATACTGAGGGCCCGAGGGCAAAAAAAAGAAAGAAATCCGCAAAGTTGAATTTTTTCCTAATAACTCTAAACTCACTCTACCAAAATGGCAAGATTAAATTTATTACCTCGTAAGTTCAACTTGCGCGTCTCTGAAGAGAACCTTTTACATAACGTGCAGTCTACTTCAATTTTCTAGATTTCACATTAAAAAAAAAAAAAAAAAAAAAATTGAAATCAATTTTTTTCCCTCGCAAGCATAAATTATAAAATCTTTTTCCACAAATTCAAAATTAAATTCATTACCTTAATGTCAAAAAAAAATATATATATATATATGGAATTCACTGCAAAAAATCATTAATAAATTCCAAGAGTAATGTCTCAAGAGAAAAATTTTTCTCTTAAGTGATTACTATACGATCATCAAAGTTAATGAAATATACATCATTTTATATGATCAAGCATCGACCAGTTTGTGATTTTAAATTAGCCGCACTGTGAAAACTGGGCTGTCAGGTTTCCACTGTGTACTCGACAGAGAGAGAGAGAGAGAGAGAGAGACTCAATAAAGTTTCAGAGTACAGTAGAAGCACACTAGGCCGGAGACACTAGGTCAGGCGATCAAGTGCCAGACAGCTTATCACTCTTGATGAAGGAGCAAATCGATTGGGAGCGTTTCATAAGTATGTAACTAAATTTTGTCGAGAAAGAAAATTGACAAGTGGTTTGTCCTCAATCATAATCTATTTGAATTAGCTGTAGTTTAAAAATTATAAATTCTAACACAATATTATTAAATCAGATAGGAGAAATGATGTACAAAAAAAAGAAACATTTGCGACTTTATGTGATTAAAAATTCTCTAAATTAAGTTTTTTTTAAGTTTCTACTTCAAAAAACACATTATAATCATTTTCATCTTGTTCATTCTACCCTTTTTGGGCGTGTCTCAAAAACCCCGCCCACTTTATAAGAACTGCCCCTTTCCGTTGCCCCGCCCTCTTTTCCGTTGATTCGCCCTTGGTTAACGTAGTATTTCCGGCCTTTATTTACCCCGCCCACTTTATAAGAACCGCCCCCCTTTACGTTGCCCCGTCTTTTATTAAACTACTCTTTCCCGCCTTCTTTATTCACTCCGCCCATTTTATAAGAACCGCCCCCCTTTTTTTGCTTTGAAATAGGCAAAGCAATTGAGGGCGTGGTTAGTCAAAGGTTGATACTAAAAAAGTGGAATCAGTAAAGGGCGTGGATAATTGAAAGCAGTCTATAAAAATAGGCGTGGTTATCGAAAAGTGATACAAAAATGGGTGGAACAATTTGGGGCGTGGTTAATCGAAGGCAGACTTTATACTAGGCGGGGCAAATAGGGGCGTATTAATCTAAGGTAGACCGGTGGAAATAGGTGAGACAATTAGGGGTGTGTTTAATCGAAGGCGGGACACTATTAGGGGCGTTGTTAATCGAAGGAAAATCTTAAAACTGGTCAGGGCAATTAGAGACGTGGTTAACCAAAGGTGGACTTTAAAAAAAGGCAAACCTTAGAAATAGGCGGGGAAATTAGAGGCGCGTATAATTAAAGGTGGGCCTTTGAAGTAGGCGGGACCATTGAGGGTGTGGTTGATTAAAGGCGAAACTTGAAAATAGGCGGGGCAATAGGAGGCGTGTTTAATTGAAGGCGGACCGTAGAAGTTGGCGGGACAATTGGAGGCGTGTTTAATTAAAGGCGGACCGTAGAAGTAGACGTGACAATTGGAGGTGTGATTAATTAAAAGCAGTTAGTAAAAATGGGCGGAATAATTCTGGGCGTGATTAGTCAAAGGCGAACCACGGAAGTAGGCGGGACAATTATGGGCGTGGTTATTTAAAGGTGGTTTCTAAAAGCGGGCGTAACAATTCAGAGCGTGGATAACCGAAGGCAAACCTCGGAAATAGGAGGGGTAATTGGAAGCGTGATTAATAAAACGTGGGGCCTAAAAATGGTCGTGACCATTCAAGACATAGTTAAGCCAGGGGCGTATCAAAAAAATTATGTTTATCAAGGGGCGGATCTTAAAAATGGGCGGTACTTATCAAAGGTGGAGCTAAAAAATGGGCATGTGAATTAAAAAATAGTTAATCGAGGGGCGGATCTTAAAAATGGGCGGTACTAATCAAAGGTGGAGTCTAAAAAATGGGCGTGGTTTAAAAATAATTAAAAATACAACAAAATATAGATAATTTTTTTTCAAAAAGTCTGTTTTAAAAAGATGGCAAAGGAGTCAAAAGATTTGAAACACCCCTGTTTTTTGTAGATCTAGAGAAAAAAATTGCAGAAAAATTCCAAAATTAGAATGCGACCTTGCTATGTGAAATGGACCATATAAATAGATGATATTTCAAACATGACTTCACAGTTTTACTTGTTGCAATGTGCATACCAGAAAAAAGATGAAAACAGAATGGAAGAAAAAGAAAAAAATTTGTATTTGTATACGTATTTGTGGGTTTACTTTTTTTTCTTAGGGGGGTCTCGTTCGTAAGTGGAAAACGTGCTTCATTCTCAACACAGGGTGCGGAAACAGAGAGCCACTATATATATATATATATATATATATATATAAGAACAAGATTCAAAAAGGAGGGGCAAAAAGAATGTCAACCTTAGGGAAAAGGGAAAGGAGGTAAAGAGGAAAGGTGGTACAGTGTTGGAATTTGGTATCATAGTAGGAGGATAAGATGTGTTTACGTGTGTGTACATCTCATATGTATGTGAGAGGAGGGGGAGAATAATATGTTGAAGCGAGAAGAAGATAGATCAAGTTAGGGGTTGGAAGAAAGAGGAGAACAAAATCTCTCTCTTTTCTTCCTCTCTCTCTCCCTTATTTTTATCTCTCTCTCTCTCTCTCTCTCTCTCTCTCTCTCTCTCTCTCTCTCTCTCTCTCTCTCTCTCTCTCTCTCTCTCTCTCTCTCTCTCTCTCTCTCTTTCTCTCTGATAGTATAAGGAGGACCTGCGCGCGAATTTCCCGCGTTCAACCCAACCTCATATTGATCCCACCCCAGTGAGAGCAGAAACGGAACGAAACACCCCCCCCTCCACCCCCGTAACGGGTTCATCGTTGTCGCGGTGAATTTTCACAGAATCGCGGCGTCCGGGTGGTCCAGCGTGTGTTTCTGAAACAAGACGACGACGACGTGCTTTTAAAAATCTTGATAAAAAAAAAAATTTTTTTTGCCTCTTTCTAGAATTCAGAAAAAAAAATTTTGAAAAAAATAATTTCGTATTAATTATTAAAAAAATTTGGTTTTTTTTGGCAACAGTTGATATCAGCTGCAATTGTGTTTGTGTTTATTTACCTGTGTTTTATTTCTCTCTGTGTGTGTGTGTCTGTGTGAATGTGATATTCTCATAGCGCAAAATTGTCTCAAGATGCCAAAGGTTTGAGTTGGTCAATAGCTTTAAAAAATTTTTTGGCTCTTGACACGTGAAGAGGAAAAAAAAAGAAGAATAAAATTAGAAGAAGAAGAAGAAAAAAGAAAGAAGATTGATTAAAAAATGTGAAAAGGAGAGAAAATATTTCCTAAATTATAACAACGAGAAGAAAAAAAATTTTTTTTTTTTTTCCCAACGAAATTTATCAGGTGCGCTTTGAGGGGAAGAAAGTTGATGGTTTTAAGCCTTGGGAATTTTTTTTTTTTTGATCAATAAAAGAAAACATATTTTTAGGATAAATATATAAGTAAATTGAATAATTGTTCCTCACGGTTTTTTCCCCTCGTTTATTATTATAAATTTCGAGAATTTTTTTGGATGAATATACACAGAAAAAAATCTTTACCTGGAACAACGATAATTTCCTCTGGAATAGTGATATTTTTCTCTAGAATAGCGAAAATTTTTGCTGTTTTAGTGAAATATATCGCTGTTCCAGGTGAAGATTTATAAATAAAAACATATTTGAAAGTAAAATTACCCTTTTTGCAAACGAAAATTTATTTGAAAGAAAAATTGTCCTTTTCATAAACTAAAAACATATCTGTAGGAAAATTTAACATTTTTTTTTTCAAAAGCAAGTGAAAAACATAGGAAAAATCAAATTTCTTTTTTTTTTAGAAAATGAAAAACTTTTTTTGAAGGGAAAATTAACTTTCTTTGGAAAATTATTTTGTCATTATAAGGTTTGCGCACACAAAAGGCATTCATTACATATATTTGTAATAATAATTCACCCACATCTTGTAATCCCACTTAGGATTACAACCCATTTTTTTTATCTTGTGTGTATGCGTGTATTTGTGTTTATATATATATATATATAATCCCAAAGTGGAGGGTTCATTACTTCCATGAGAATTCTATTTACACACACATAAACACACACACACACACACACACACACACACACACACACACACACACACACATAGAGTAGCGCCAAGGATCTTTTCTCGCACAAAGAATGAAAAGTGCCTCGCCCCAATGAGAGGCCACGTTACGCAGGAATCGTATATATATATATATGCGATGCTGCACAAACTAGTTCCTTGAAAATATTGTTAATTTAAACGCTCTTCTCTTCTGTTTTACAATCACCTTGATAATTTTAAATACTTCCGCAAAATGTTACTGACCATACTCTTCATTTTCTTCTTCTTTTTTTTTACAAAATAGTATACAATTTACGTTTTGAAAATGATTTTGAGCTTTTTTTTTTTTGGTTTATTATCCTCTTCTTCCTAACACGATATAATTTATAATAATTATACATTTGAACACTGTACGTTTTTGATTTTTGTAAATATTTTCAATACGAAAGATTTTATGATTCAATTTTGATCAACAAGTTTTCAAAAGAGTTTGACCTCCAAACGTTTTTTTTTTTTTTGTATAAACTCTGTGAGCTAAAACAAAATTGAACTGGTTAACGATTCGGGAATTAGTAATTATGAATTATTTTTGAAATTTTGTTTATTCCCTGTGTTAGGTCTAACAAGTTCCGGTTTCCTCTAAATTTTCATTTATATAATATTTTTCCTAATTATTTATTATATGATTTTTTAAAATAATTTTTCAAACAGTTTTAAAAAAAATTTTCAATAATTTTTAAATATTTAAACACTTATAATAATAAATAATACCTTTTTAGCTCCCGCTTACTGTATACCACGCCTATTACTATGATCCGCCCTCTATAAACCACGCCTTATAGGTCCCACCTCTAATATATCACGCCTATAGTAGTACCGCCTTTTTAGGCTCCGCCCACTAAAAATCACGCCTTTTAGTTGCCGCCTGAAATAGTCCCGCCTCTTTTAGGCTATATTCCACGCCTACTATAGTCTCGCCTCATTTAAGGTTCCGCCCGCTATAAACCACGCCTCTTAGGACTCGCCTACTGTATGTCACGCCTGCCATAGAATCGCTTTTTTAGGCTCCGTCCACTAATAACCACGCCTTATTATGTTCCGCTTGCTATAGTCATTCCTCTTTTTAAACTCCGCCCTCTAATAACCACGCCTTTTTAGGTCCCGCCTACTGTATGTCACGCCTGTAATTGTTCTGCTTCTTTTTAGACTCCGCCCTCTATTAGTCCCGCCTACTGTAAGCCAGGCCTACAATAGTCTCTCTTCTTTTAAGTTCCTCCCTCTATAAACCACGCCTCTTAGGGTACGCCTATTACATGTCACGCCTTAAATAACTCTGCCCTCTTTAAACCACGCCTATTTTTCTCGTCTACTATATTATATTCCTACAATAGTCCCGCCTATTTTTAGGCTCCACCTTCTAAAAGCCACGCCCTGTAGGCACTGACTATTATATACCACGCCTACTATGGTCCCGCCTATTTTTAGACTACGCTCTCTATAAACCACGCCTATTTTAGGTCCCGCCTACTGTTGTTTATGCCTGCGTTATTTCTACCAGGTTTTTAGCTCCGCCTTCGAAAAACTAAGCTATTTTAGGTTTTTGCTGTTTATATATTTGGCTTTTAATTGTCACGCCTTTTTTTACAAACCGTCCTCTAATTTCAGTAAATTGAATAATTTTTAAATAAGAATTTTTAATGAATTAATTCTTATTGAATATTCTATCATTATTTAAATGAATGCAATATTTTTTTATTGTCAAAAATTTTTTCATTGCATATTGAGAAAAAAATAATTATTTTCGAAACTAGATGAGAGAAATTTTTTTTGAAATATTGGCAAACATTCAATGCCCGGAGCATGTTTATATATATATATGAGAGACAAAGGACGTTATCTCTTAAGGTGCATCGACACCTTCTTGGTTTTAAACGTCAACAAGGAATCCCTCTTCGCCCCAGTGTTGGATGGTTGAATTCTCAGAATTCCGTCTCCGGATTCTGTAGCGCTGTCAGGCAATGATTTTAATTTCAAACAAGATCTCTCTCAAGTCCTTTTCTTGAAATCGCTCAACAACAACAACAACAACAACAACGTATATGTACATACGTTTATATATCAATTTCTAGGTAGTGTGGGAGATTTATTTTTATATATCTAAAACTCAAAGGAATAAAAAATAAAATAATAAAAATGTATAAAAAATATTACCGATCAAAATTTTTAATACCAGACATGATTTTTTACTCTTTATAATAATTTTTATAATTTTTTTTTTGTAAATTTAGATTTTATTTTCTCACAAGAAAAAAAAAGGATAATAAATGCCAAAGAGTTAAATATTTATCTTCTTTTTGAATTTCTCGAGATGGAAAGTTAGGAGAGCAAGTCATTCGTAAATCCTGATTTCTGATTCGCAAGTAAGAGTAATGCTTTTCTAAATTAGTGGGTATCTCTCTCTCTCTCTCTCTCTCTCTCTCTCTCTCTCTCTCTCTCTCTCTCTCTCTCTCTCTCTCTCTCTCTCTCTCTCTCTCTCTCTCTCTCTCTCTCTCTCTCTCTCTCTCTCTCTCTCTCTCTCTCTCTCTCTCTCTCTCTCTCTCTCTCTCTCTCTTTTCTCTCTCTTGAGAGGAGAGAGAGAAAAGTTTCACTCTCGCGAGATATACGCAATTTACAATTATTATTTTTTTTTATTTTCCTCTTCTTAGAAAGAAGAGTTTTATATTAAAACAAGAACGTAATTAAATTTTTTTTTCCTTCTCAATATCTTATACATCTAATAATAATTAGTCATTTTTGCAATTAATCATCTATTTTAATTTTAAATTCCAAAAATTTAGAAGTTGAAGTTTTAATATTATTTTATTTTTATTATATCTATTATTAATTCTATATAATTTTATTATATATAATAAAAATAAAATTATATATATATATATATATATATACAGATATATAAATAAAACATTCATCAATTGGCACGTATAAATTGTGAAAGTGTCGCTACAATCGAGCACCGGAAACATATCTTTAACAAGATGAAAATTGCGTTACAATGGTCCTGGACGCGTGTAACTTGTGTCCAGAATGGCCTCGGTTAAATGGAGTGTTGCAATGATAAAAATCACCAGACTCAAGTCACGCAAAGACGTATTTCTTTCCGCGCTCATAATACTCGCAATTGCTCTCTTTAAACACACAATTATCCCCTCCGACTTCCCCTATCAAAAAAAAAAAAATAAAAACACAAAAAACCTTCCAGATAATTACACTATACTTCTCCCACCCCTTAAAAAAAACCTTCAAACACTTTTTAATCATCCACAAAATTTCTCGAAATTCAAAAAAAACAAAAAAAAACCCTGAGACTTAAAACCATCACTAACAAAAGAAAAATAAAAAAAAATAAAATGTTTTTTTTTTATTTTAAAATTAAAATAATCAATAATATACAGCCTAACAAGAAAGGAAGACAAAGAGAAAAAAAAATTTGTTTCAACCAACAAGACTTAAAACATGGATGCATTGGAGTTGCAAGCAGCCCTCGTGAAATTGGATCCAGCAACGACCGTGACCCCCATTGGATCAAGTGTAAAATTAATGGTACCCCATCCTAGAATTGCATTTACACGTGATATTGATGAAAGTGATCTCTCAACAATTTCACAAAATCAAATCACTACTAATACAACCAATATCATCGCCACTACTACCACCAGCAGCAGCAGCAACAACGTTAGCAGCATTTGCAATGAAAGAAAATCAACTATAGATACAATGAATTTGCGAAAATTAACAAATCAAAATCATCAAAATTCACAGAATCCGCAAATCACCAAGTGCAACGTGATTGAGGTCAGGTGACGCCAAGCATCGATCGGAGTAAATATGCTGTACCACACATACCCACCGCACAGGGGCGGCAAACATCATGGCAAGCATCACACCAAAGAAAAACGTCACCATCATCATCATACAATTCATCATCAACATCATAAAACGCATGTGGTGAGTATAGGAAGGACGATTAAAAAAAACACCCAACCCAATTTATGCTATTCTTTCTTTAATTTATTAAACAAAAATTCGCTCCGCCCATTGAAAACTACGCCCTTAATTGCTCCGCCCCTTTTTTCTACAGATTTTTCAAGAAACCACACCCCTATGTTATGTTAAAACCACGCCTTTTTAGGTCCCGCCTCTTTTTAGGCTCCGCCTTCTATAAACCACGCCTTTCAGGCCCCGCCTCTTTTTAGACTCCGCTCTTTTATAAGACACACCTTTTAGGTCCCGCTTACTATATAACACGCCTACAATAGTGTCGCCTTTTCAAGTTCCGCCCACTAATAACCGCGTATTCTTAGGTCCCGCCTGCAGTAGTTCCGCCTCTTTTCAGGCTTCGCTTTTTATAAGTCACGCCTTTTAATGTCCCGCCTATTATGTCACGCCTCTTTTAAGGCTCCGCCCAGTAAAAACCACGCCTCTTAAGGCTCGCCTACAATAGTACCGCCTTTTCAGGCTCCGCCCATTAATAACCTCGCCTTTTTGAGATCCCGCCTGCAGTAGTTCCGCCTCTTTTTAGGCTCCTCCCTCTATAATATACGCCTTTTAGTTCCCTTCCATTTTATGCTACGCCTATTATAGTCTCGCCTTAGAGTACCGCCTTTTCTAGGTTCCACTCTTTATAAGCTAAGCCTCATGGTACCCGCCTACTATAGTCTCGCCTCTTTTAGACTCCGCCATGTAATTGCGCCTCTTAGGGCCCTCCTACTGTATGTCACGTCTACAATAGTGCTGCCTTTTTAGGTTCCACCCTCTATAAGCCACGCCTCTTAGTACCCGCTCATTGTATACCACGCCTAGTATAGTCCCGCCTTTTTAGGCTCTACCCTATTAAACCACACTTCTTAGGGCTTGTCTACAATATGTCACGCCTAATATATTGCCGCCTTTTTTAGGATCCGCCCTCTATGAGCCACGCCTTTTGGTACCCGCGTATTTTATGCCACGCCTACAACAATTTTGGCTCTTTTTAGGCTCCGCCCTCTAAAACCACGCCTCTTAGGGCTCGCCTACAATAGTCTGTGTTTAAGCTCCGCCCTATATAAACCACGCCTATTTTTAAGATCCTCCATGATTTTGTGGTAGTATTATGTACTAAAAATTTTCAATATGACTATCAAATAAAAAGAAGCTAGTTAAATATAATGAAACAAATTACAAAAGCTGAAGTATATAAATTATACTAAATAACACATTAGAGAAGTTTATAACAACATTTTCAAATTGGAGTTTGCTATTAGCGATGATAATTAAAATCCATTAACAAGTTTTAGATGCATTAAATTTTGAAGTTTTGGAATTTGAAATATTTGCTCGCTATACACATACACACACATACACAGGTATATATGTATACCGAGACGGTTTATAATTCTCCATGTCTATTTATCTCGTTAAATCTTGTCTTTTTTACGTTGGAAATATATATAGTACTATACGTAAAACTTGGTAAGAACGTGACGCGAGGGAAATGCTGGCATTAAAGCCTCGTTGACACGATGACAGTTTTATACTTAGGAGTCACATCTCTCATGAAAGTGTTGCCTGAGGACACCAAGTGTATAAAAGAGAAAAGTGTATATGTGTATGTTTGATACAGAGAGAAAAAAAAAGAAAAAGCGAAAACCCAACTGCCGTTTGTCGACTCCTTTTGATCATTAAATTCCTATTTTTCCACTTTTATATATATATATATATATATATATATAAGAAAAAAGAAAATAATAATGATAATAAACTAATTTTTCATTCGATACAATCAGTCACACCATTGGGGACAAAGGTATCTTAAAAAGGATATTGAGACACAATGCCACCAAGCGTTTGGCTGGTTTTATATTTTTTCAATGTCATTTTCACGATCAACATGATTCATCGTTTATTATAAAATTGCTTTTGTTTTTTTTTATTACTCACTTTTTTGCAAAAAATTTTCAATTTTAATTTAAGAAAAAATTTTATTTTCTAATATTAGTATTGTTTCGAAAAAAAAAATTTTCAGAAATGTTTTTAATTTTTTTTCTAAAAAAAAAAAAATGTTCCAAAAAATCCTCTTTGAGAAAAAAAGGAATTTTTTGATTTTTTTTTTCAAACAATAACTAACCTAACAATACATTTGTTTGTTGTGTTAGCACGATATCCGTAAAAATTGCGAATTTCATTTGCCCTCACCTCCTCCCCTCAACCACGCTCTTTTTTTTTTTTTTACTTTTCGCGGTAATCATTATAATTAACCATAAACTCTTACAAAATCACGGTAACAATCATCATCCTTAAAAAAAAAAAAAAAATGCGGCAAAAACAAAAAAAAAAGCGTTGAAAATTGCTGTGCATTGAGAAAGAAGTATCTTGCCTCAGGTGATTTTAATCTCATTTGGAACGCCAGTTCTTATTGCTTCTTGCAATTTGAAATTAGTTATCATATTTCTCTTCCCAACAAACATTTTATAATAGACTTCCCGCGAGTTAAATAAGACTTTAAAAAGATATATATGAAGAAATTTTTTTTTCTTTAACCACCTGACTGTTTGTTTTTTCGGTACTCAATCATTTCTTCATCAAGTATAAAGAAAATGTGTATACATACATGTTCATTAATGACAAGTGGTATATATATCAATTACATTTTTCTATTTCTATATTTCAAATTTTTTTCGCTCATTTTCTCAGTAACATGACATATTTATTTGCTATATTCATTTATAATTTGAATTTATAAATACATTGCCAATATTTTTGTGAATAATTCTCATATTCTTAAAAATGGGCGGAACAATTAAGGGCGTGGTTAATCGAAGGCGGATCTTAAAAATGGGCGTAGCAATTAAGGGCGTGGTTACTTAAAGTGGTATCCTTAAACTGGGCGTGACAATTAGGGGCGCGGTTAATCGAAGGTGAAACTTGAAACTGGGCAGGGCAATTAGAGGCGTTATTAACCGTGGGTTGCCTTTGAAAATAGGCGGTACTATTAGGGGCGTTGTTATCCGAGGGTAAACTTTGGAAATAGGTGGGGAAAATAGGGGCATGGTTAACCCAAGGCAGAACTTGAAAATGGGCGGTACTATTAGGGGCGTGATTGCCAGAGGGCGGAACTTGGAAATGGGAGGTTATTATGGGCGTGGTTAACAGAGGTCGAACTTTTATAATAGGCGGGGCAAATAGGGGCGTGGTTAACCTAAGATTGACCGTTGAAAATAGATGAGACAATTAGGGGCGTGGTTAATTGAAGGCGAACTTTAAAATAGGCGGGACTATTAGGGGCGTGGTTAATCGAAGGCGAATCTTAAAACTGGGTAAGGCAATTAGAGTTGTTGTTAACCAAGGGCGGACTTTGGAAATAGGCGGAACTATTAGGGGCGTGGTTAACCAAGGGTGGATTTTGGAAATGAGTGGGACAATTAGGGGAGTGGTTTTATTTAAAGGCGGGTATTAAAATATAAGTAATGCAATTAAAGCCGTGGTTAATCGAAGGGGAATCTTAAAACTGGGCGTGTCAATTAGGGGAGTGGTTTAAAGAAGGCGAATCCTAAAACTAGGCGGAACAATTATGGGCGTGGTTAACAGAAGGTCAATCTTAAAAATGGGCGGGGAAAGTAGGGGCGTGTATAAGTGAAGGTGGACTTTTAAAATAAGCGGTACTATTTGGGGGCGTGATTAATCAAAAGCGGATCTAGGAAATGGGCGGGATAATTCGAGGCGTGGTTAATAAAAGGCGTGTTCTAAAATCTGTCTAAAAACGGGGAGTGGTCACCAAGGGGGAGGGATTAGAAAAATGTAAATATATTGAAAATTGTTAATAATGAAATGGAAGTGTAAAAAAGTGCAGTTATTTAAAAAAGAAAAATGTGCTTCTAGAACAATTATAAATTCATTTTTCTTTTTTTTTGCATGTAACTCACGTAATATGAAAACTGTAAATTTTATGAATGTCATTTTAAAAAAAATAAATTGTTTGAATTTTAATATTTGTTGTGAATCTCTAATGAGAATACAATTGCGTTCAAATTATTATTATTATTATTATTTATCATGTTCTCTAATAAAATTTTCAGAATACAATTCGCATTTTCATGAAAGTAACACTAATTAAATTGTGAATGTCAATCAAAATGGCGCCGTGGGCGAAAATTCGAAAATCGATGATAAAATATAATTGCATCTAGATTCATGTTGAAAATACAAATACAGGGTGATATATTGAGAGGTGGATGCTGGAGGAAGGCAACGACCGAGTTATACAGTTGTGATCGATCCGGTCACCTCGTGCTTGTATTGTATATATATATATATATATATATATATATGTGTGTGTTAGCGATATATACCTATGCAATCAACTCTACGTCGTTTGTCTCTCTGAAATACACGTTTTAGTTCTACATTCATTTCTCTCAGTCAATACACGTGCACCACAGGCTTTTTCATCGAATTTTATGCGCACATTTTGTGTGTATATATAAATGTATGTGTGAGTGCTTTTTTTTTGCCTGGGAAATGTTATAACTTTATCGTCATAATTTTTTTTTTTTTTTTTAATTATACAATTAATGTTTTAATTTTTTAAAAAAATATCTAATAAAAGCAGTTTTTAAATTGTCAAAAATTTAATTAAAAATTTTTTTTTTTTATTCTACTTTTTAAAGATGATGAATATAATAAAATTAAAAAAAAAAAAAAAAAAAATTAATATGTAAATTTTTTTTAATTTTGATGTTAATTTTTGCTTTCTTTTTTTTTTGTTTTAGGTAAGTGACTGACCAGCTGTTTTGCTATTAGTGTGGTAAGAGTTTGAAATTATTTTTTTTTCTCCTCTCTTTCATCCTCTTTTCGAGTCATTTTTTTCTATCGGCTTTTATCAACAAAATTTTAAAGTCTCTTCCTCTCTCTCTCTTTCCCTCTCACTTATAGTGACCTAGTGACCTGAAAATGCAACATTGGCAGAAACAGTGAAATTGAAATGTGTACCTCACGTTGCTCGAAATTATTATCGTCGTTCTAATATGGAGAAAGGGGAATTATTGCCTATATATATCGTACAAATTAATATTATCGATAAAATATTTTTCATTTTTTTTTTTAATTGTTTTTAATTTTATAAATAACAAAATTTAATTTTTTAGAATTATTATTATTTTTATTATTATTATTATTTTTATTATTATTTTTATTATTATTTTTATTATTATTTTTATTATTATTTTTATTATTATTTTTATTATTATTTTTATTATTATTTTTATTATTATTATTATTATTATTATTATTATTCTGAGTTTTAGGTCTTAAATTTTAGGGGGGAAAAATTGTAAAATAATTAACAAAAAAAAATTAATTAAAAAAATTTTATTTTGTTGATAAAATTCAATAGAAACAAATTATTATTGATATTATTTGTTTCGTTTTCGTTTTACGTCAATTTTATGATAAACAGGTGTTTCCAGTGGAATGGTCAGTTTTCAGCTTCTTAATTTAACATACGTAGTTTACGCACGTTGCTTTTCAGGATGTTCGTGATCATACTCCCCCCTCTCTGTTCTTTTTTTTGCTCTCTCTCTCTCTCTCTCTCTTGAATTTTGCAGCTACTCGTAAGGTCTCTCTCTCTCTCTTTTCTCCTTTAGATACAAAAACACGTTTAAGACGATGCAGTATTTATTGCGTCTGCCTGACATCCTCGACACGAGAAAATAGTCTTTTCAAAAGCCTCGAAGCTATTAAAGATTGTTATTTGGCCGCAACACCACTGAAATAGTTTACGATATCGTTAGTTATTAATCATTCTTCTATAATTTTAGATATTTCCAAAAAAAAATTTTTTTTTTTTTTACTAATTTAATTTCTTTTTTTCTTATTTTTCTACTACTTCAATCCTTGGTCTCTATTTCCTTTTTATTTTTCTCTAACCCACTTTCTTGCCTATCTTCTTTATTGACCTTCTCCTTTTTTTTCTTTTTCCTTCTTTTATACTTATTTACTCACCCTTTTATGTCCTCTCATCCTTTTTTAATACTGTCACTTCTTTTCTCCACAAGATGAAAAAAGGCGGATCTTAAAAGTAGGCGGCAAAAATTGAGGACGTGGTCAATTTAATCCGGATCCTAAAAGTAGGCGGGAAAATTAAAGGCATGGCATTAAAATAGACGAAACAAAACAGGGCGTGGTGAATTGAATGCAAATCTTTCAAATAGGCGGGGCAATTAGGGGCGTGGGTAATCAATGACTGGTGTTGGAAATGGGTGCGACATTTAGGGGCGTGGTTAACCGAGGGCGGATTTTAAAAATAGGAGGAACTATTAGGGGCGTGGTTAAATAAAGTCAAACTTTAGAAATAGGCGGGACTGTTAGGAGTATGGTTAACCGAAGGCGAATCTTGGAAATGGGCAAGGAAGTTATGAGCGTTGTTAATCAAAAGCGGATCTTGGAAATGGGTGTAACATTTAGGGGTGTGGTTGACCGAGGGCGGACTTTAAAAATAGGAGGGACTATTAGGGGCGTGGTTAACTAAAGTCGAACTTTAGAAATAGGCGGGACTGTTAGGAGCGTGGTTAACCGAAGGCGAATCTTGGAAATGGGCGGGGAAATTATGAGCGTTGTTAATTAAAGGCGGATCTTGAAAAGAGGCGTGGGTAACCTAGGGCGGACTGTAAAAATAGGAGGGACTATTGGAGGCGTGGTTAATTGAAGACAAATCTTAAAATTACGCGTATTAATTTTTTTCTGTTTTTCTTCAATTTCTTTCGCTTTAATAATTATATATATATGTGAAAATTTGAAAAAAAAGAATATGGTGAAGAAATTTTTATTTTTTATGAATGAAATTATCATAATGAAAATAAATGTAATTTTTCATTAAGAAATGAATATATACATATATATATATTTGTTAAGGTGATAAAATTAGCTAAAATGTAGTCTTTAATTGTTTTTGGCAATTTGTGACACCTGGTGCGTCACAGGCCAATGTGCCCGAGTTGGCCAAGTATCAATTTGACACTCGTCTTGATTCTATTTTTATAATAGCATCGCTCAATTTAGCAACGATTACAGAATTAAAAAAGAAAAAAAGTTATGTCACAAGATTATATATCTATATATACAAAAGATATGTGACACACACGTTGTGTCTCTCTAATTAAAATCCTCTCTCTATATATGCATATACGTACGGTATAATGACAAACAAAATGCATCTAAGAATAAATTTTTCCAAAAAAAAAAAAATTTTTTTTTTTTTTGCAATCCAAAAATAGTACATTATATTTCTTCAATAAATATCAAAACCCGTATCATTGTATCGTATATATGAGTGTATGTACGTATATAAAGGACAGAGAATTGAAATTTTTCGTCTTTAAACTACCCACGCGTAAATGTGTAAGTGACATTTCAGGGACGTTTCGAATGGTGTGTCGTCCTATAATGACCTTAAGCTAACCCTGAAGTAATTCAAAAGCGGTTTTTCAAAAAGAAAAAAAAAATTTGCAAAATTCAAGTTATTATCGACTTTAAATTGATAATAATACTGAGGTTGCAAATATTCAATTCAAGAAATTTTTTTTTTTTCAAAGTCAACACACAAAAGATTCTAAAAGTATAAAATTGGAAATAAATTTTTCATTCACAAAAAACGATAACGAAATTATTTATATTATTTGGAAAAGGGTAAGGGTAAAAAATAGAAGACGAGTAACCAAAATAAAGAAAATGATACAAGAATTTCAAAACTATTCTTCTTATACAGAAGAACGACAGACAAGAGAATACAATAAAAAAAAGAAAAATGTCAACAAAAAAAAATTGAGAACAGACAGTATACAAAAGAAGAAAATCAATAAAGAGGACAAGAGGAAAAAGAATGAAAAAAAAATGATGAAAAGAAAAGAAAAATGGTAGAAAAAATTTGCTACACAACTAATAAAGGAAGGATTAAAAAAAATTATATAAAAAAAACTGTCAAAATAGTGTTTACTTAAAGGAGGATCTTAAAAAAAATCGGTTAGCCAATTTAGGGCGTTTCTAATGAAAGGCGTGATAATTTAGAACGTAGTTAATTCAAAACAGGTTTTAAAAATAGTCGGCTTCTAAAATTGGGCGGAATAATTAAAGGCGGATCTTAAACATGGGAGGAGCAATTAGGGGCGTGGTTAATCTAAGGCGGATCTTGGAAATGGGCGGAACAATTAGGGGCGTGGTTAATTAAAACGGGTCTTAAAATAAGTAAGGCATTAAAAGGCGTGGGCAATTGAAAGCAAATCCTAATAATGGGCGTGGCAATTAGGGGAGTGGTTAATCGAAGGCAATCCTAAAACTAAGCAAAGCAATTAGGGCCGTGATTAATCAAAAGGAGGATCGTAGAAATAGGCGGGGCAATTAGGGGCGTGTCTAAAAGGCTGATCTTAATAGTGGGTCTTACAAATTAGGGCGTGGTTTATATAGGGTAGATCTAGAGGTAGGCGGAGAAATTATGGACGTGTTTAAACAAAGGCGATTCCTAATAGAAGGCGGGTCAATTATGGGTGTGTCTAATTAAAGGCGGTTCTTAACAGTGGGCGTGTTTGAACAAAGGCGGTTCCTAATAGTGGTCGTGTCTAATCAAATGCGGTTCTTAACTGTGGGCGTGGCAATTATGGGCGTGATTGAACAGAGGTGGATCTTAATAGTAGGCGGGAAAATTATAGGCGTGTCTAACCAAAGGAGGTTATTTAATATTGGGCATGGCAATTATGGGCGTGTTTAAACAGGAGCGGATCCTAATAGTAGGCGGGACAATTATGGGCGTGTCTAACCAAAGGAGGTTTTTAATAATTATGGGCGCGGCAATTATGTTTAATCAAAGGCGGATCTAAAAAATGGGCGGGAAAATTAAATTTTACAATAGAAAAGGAATAGATGAAGGAGGAGGAAAATAAATTTTATAATTAAAAAAAAAGAAGTGATAGAAATATAGAGGTAAATAAATATGAAAATTAAAAAAAATTAGTGAAAGGGAAAAATGAGAGCAATGATGCTGGGGAATTAAAAGGATAAATATATGATGAAAAAAAGAGAACTGAAAGGATCGGGTGTTATGAGAGAGAGATGCATGATTCTGGAATAATCTTGTAAAATGACCAACTTGTGGTTTAACGTTACTGTAAAGCAAGTTTATCATTACAAGATTTAATATCATCTACTACTGACCACCTCAGCAAGTCAACTTGATAATCGATTATACCACTCAATTGGATTTTCAGGTGCACTTACAAGAGCTACTTTACCGGCAATATTGTTTAAACGTTCTCTCCCTCTCTCTCTCTCTCCCTAATTAATTTATTTTATATTTTCAATTTAATTTAAATAAATTTAATTAAATCGATGCGTATAAAAAAAATTTCAATTCTGTTAGGAATAAAATAAAGAAATAAATTTAAAATAACATGGAAAAAAGGGATTTACTTGAAACAGCGAAAGATTTCACTAAAATAGCGAAATATATAACTGAAACAAGTAAAAAATTTTGCTTGCTTTTGCGAAACGTTTCGCTATTCCAGGTAAATTTTTTTTTCGTATAAATTTAAAAATATAATTTATCTAATTTTCGATTGAAATAATTTGTTGTAAAATTTTAATATTTAAAATTTGAAAAAAAATCTTGAAAAAAAAATGAAAAAATTTTATTTTATAATTAAATAATTGTAGAAAAAAAATTTTATTTTAACGAAGTTCATTGGCATTTGGACAATGGAAAAAAAAGAAAAGAATTCCAAAATGCGGAACAATAAAAACATGACCGTGGATTCAAACTATTTATTTACTATATAGTTGATGGAAGTCTCGAGCTTATATATATATATATATATAAATGAGTGAATATTTTTGTCCACGTGTGTCACACGGAAAATTCAAACACAGAAATACTTTTGTCAAAGAAGAAACATATATATAAATACACATATGCACTTACGAATTCGCGCACCGCGAAACCAAGACTGTGTATGAGAAAGTTCGAGCTTATATTAGCGCACACGCATCGCAATCAGTGACTGTCCAACCATCCTTGCTGTCGGACCTTCTCACAAAAAGGTGGTTTTTTTTCTTTTTTTTTTTTTTGATTCACTGTCAAGCCGCGGGTGTGTTATAAAATAGAAAAATTATTTTTAAGTACAGTGAATTTTTTTCTTTTGTTTCGCATTTTCCGTGTTTCACTGCGGATAGGCAATCAATATTTGTAATATTTAATTAAATTTTTTTCACATTATCAACGTGAGAAATGGGTAAATATTTCTTTTAAAACACCATTTTACCCCTATCCAATATGATCTATTTCTTGTTGTGGGTCACAAAAATTATTTTTTTTTTTTTTTATAAATAGGAAAAAAATTTATTTTATTTTATTTTTTTTTTTGAGTTTTATAAGTGGAAAATTGGTGAAAATTTTTTAAATTGGGGCCTAAGCAGAATTTCTATCCAGTGCCTGATTGGGCCCCGATGAGGATTTTTAAGATTATGTGGTGGAAATTTTTTTTTTTTTTTGTACATCAGCTTAATGTTTGTAAAATAGTTATTTTCTTACAAGAAATTAATTACTGATTTTTTTTTTTGCTATTCGTACATGGGCCAGGTTAGAGCCTAGATAGCGCCAGTTTTCGATTTTTAGTTTCTATTACCATACTGAAAAGAAATTTTCATTGTCAATTAATATTCCCGATGTTTTTTGAAAGAGATATGAAAATAGTGCCAAATCGGGGCCTAATGGGGGCCAGAATAGAATTCTTATCCAGCGCCTCATTAGCGCCAGTTTATTCGGTATTTCGATTAATTTTTCATTTTAAAAATTTAATAATAATATTAAATAAATAATAATCGTGAGAAAAATAATAATAATAATAATAATAATAATAATAGTAATAATAATAATAAAAAGAGAAAATCCTTTTTTGAAATTAAAAAAAAAAAATTTTTTCTAAATATTGGATTTTTTTTTTGAAATATGTAAAATAAAGTAATTATATTATGTTTGATGATCCGTCTCAATGAATTTCTATTTTTTTTTTTTTGTCACTTCCGGCAGTGACGACAGGATGAAATTATTGTCCGTGCCTGGCCCCCCTTCCCTTAGGCCATAGTGTCAAATTACCACTAAAGTGGCAAAAAGGGTCTTTTTACCCCCCAAAACATATGTGAAGCTCCACTCCATTTACCGTGAAACCGTGAGAATATAATCGGAAATATAATCATGTTGTGCTCACTTTCAAAAAAAAAAAAAAGAAAGAAAACACTAAACACACTTTTAACACATTCTTTTTTTTATAGTTTTCTAAAAATGAAACTCAATTTATTTTTTTTCTTGAAATCGAAATTTTTTTTCACAAAAATTGTCGTCAATTTTTTTTTTTTTTGTAAATTATATTTTTAAATAAAAAAATTATATTTCAAAAAAAAAACCTTAAAACCTGTTTTTTGAAAAAAAAATAATTTTTTAATTATTAAAATTTTTTAAAAATATTTTGAGGGTCAAATAATTAATTTTTTTTTCCCGGAAGGGAACAAGTTGAATGAAACACGATTTTGCCAATTGTTTCGTACAAAAATGATTCGCCTTGAATGTATTTTTTCTCAATACCTGTTTTTAATCTCCCAAGACGGTGGCAAATTAATGATACCTCAATGTCGTTGAGACAACTTTTATATTCCATTTCAAAGATAAAAAAAAAAGTTACGCTTTTTTTGTAATTTAAATCGAGAAGGCAAAATTTTGGAAGCAATTTTCTAGTTTCTTTGTTAAATACTTTGAAAATTTGAAAAAAAAATTCTCAATTGTCCTTTTCTGAGGTAGTTTTTTGTTTGCCTAACCAGAGCCCTGTTTGAGCCAGTTTAGACATTTCTAGCTAGAGGTTTTTTGAAGCTTTTCTAATTTTCCTAGACAGAGCCCTGATGACACCCTGATGGTGCCTAGACAGATTCTATATTAAAATAGAACTATCAAGGTTGCCTAGATAGAGCCTAGATAGAACCTGTCAAAATTTTCTAGATAAAGCTATTTTAAAGCTTGTTTAATTTACTTTTTTAAAAAACTATTTTTGACTGCCCAGAAAGAAACTAGTTAGAACCTAGTTGGAACCCGGTTAAAACCTAGTTATAACCTAGTTGAAACCCGGTTAAAACCTAGTTAGAACCTAGTTCGAATCTAGTTCTAACTTAGTTAGAACCTAGTTAGCACCTACTTAGAACCAACTTAGAACCTAGATAGAACCTAGTTAGAACCTAGTTAAAACCAAGATATCACCTAGTTAGAACCTAGTTAGCACCTACTTGGAACCTAGTTAGAACCCAGTTAGCACCTACTTAGAACCTAGTTAGAACCTACTTGGAACCTAGTTGTACCTACTTAGAACCTAGTTAGAACCTAAATAGAACCTAGTTAGAAACTTGTTAGAACCTAGTTAAAACCTAGTTAGAACCTAGTTAGAACCTAGTTAGAACCTAGTTAGAACCTAGTTAGAACCTAGTTAGAACCTAGTTAGAACCTAGTTAGAACCTAGTAAGAACCTAGTTAGAACCTAGTTAGAACCTAGTTAGCACCTACTTAGAACCTACTAGGCACCTACTTGGAACCTACTTGGAACCTAATTGGAACCTAGTTAGAACCTAGTTCGAACCTAGTTAGCACCTTCTTAGAACCTAGTTAGAACCTAGTTAGCACCTACTTCGAACCTAGTTAGCACCTTCTTAGAACCTAGTCCGCACCAGTTAAAGTTTCCAAGATAAAGCTACTTTACAGCTTGCTTAATTTGCCTAGCCAGAGCCTTCATAACGAATTTTTAGCCCCTGGGCAGATACTTAAAAAACCATTCTAGACTGTCTGGGTAGAGCCTAAGTGTAGCCTATCTACATTTCAACCAGTAATTAAATTGCTGAGACGAACCATATTAGATGGTATTGTGCTCTTTTGACAAAAATCTTATAAATCTAGTCTGACTAACCCCAGAGCCCTATTAAGATTAGTCTACGTTGCCTAGCTAGAACCTTATTAGAGCCTGATTTGCTGTTTCCTTTACCCTTAGTTTAACTGCTGGCATAAATGATTGAAAACAATAAGTTGAGTTTTGTTCTAAAAAACAAACTTCGCCTAAAGTGGGTTTCAGTCTAGTTTAGCCTAGCCAGGGCCCTGTCAAGTATTTACACTTTAAAAATTTTATAATTACTTTGAGTCCGGTTTTCGATTTATAAAGAAGTGTAACGGGAAAATTATGTTTCTAAACCCGTTTTTAAAGGAAGTTTCCGTCTTGGCGCAAACTAGGCTCAAACTAGTTCCGCTCCTGTAGACAAATATTTTCAATATTTGAGACCTATAATAAATAATTTGATATTGCATACCTCTTTTTGATAATTTGTTCAGTGTCTTAAAAAACCAAACCGGGCTCTAACTAGGCTCCGCCTAGTTTTTTTCATAAATCGACGAAAAAAAATTATTTTTCCACTATTTCTCTTTCGTTTAATTTCAGTAAATATTTTTTCTCTCTCTCTCTCTTTATTTCAAAACTAAAGATGTTAACAATACTTTTTTTATTAATTGGATTCGAGAAGGGCGGACACTCGTTAGAAAACTAATTTAATTTAACGAACCAACGGCTTTCCTAGAATAGGGACAACAGTCTTGATTTACACTGTCGGTTGTTAGCATTTCTTTTTTTAAATTGTAAATATTGTTTTCTCAAAAAAAAAAAAAAAAAATTGTGGTTAGTAAAAATTTATTTTTCTTTTTAAAAAAGAAAACAAATTTTACCTTAAATTAAAAATTTTAATTCTTTTTTTTTAATATTTTTGAAAATATATTTTATAATTTTATTTTTTGTGTACCCACAACAAGAAACGGATTTAAAAAAATTTTGATAGTGACAAACCTGAGTGATATGTGCTTTTTTTGAAAAAAAAAATTACAAAATAGAAAACAAAGGATCCCTGTGATTTTTTTCCTGTTGCTCATTGAGATTTGCAAACCTGTCCAAAAAAAAAAAAATTTTCGACGATCCAAGGAATGTCTACATGTTATTCCCTGATGCCGGTTTCCTTGCAAGATATTCTGGTAAATAATTTTATCAAAAAAAAAAAAAAAAAAAAAAATTTTTAAATTAACAACAAAAAACACTACTAACATTCGGAAAGAAAAAATATTTTCCCTTTTTTATTGCTTGTTATTTATTTTTAAAAATGAAAATTTTTATTTTTGTATTTTTGCGTTATTTGTGTGAAATCATATCATTTTATTTATTATCCTTGAAGATGGATATTCAGGACAAAAGAGACGTTTTTTTTTTTATGAAAAAAAGAGTTAAAAAAATACCTGGTAAAAATGTCTCTTGAAGGAGTAAACCTGCTAGGTACCCCGTTTATAGTACTTTCAATGATCCCGGTTACAAAACCGGTTTTCAACAGCAAAAAAAAAAAAAAAAAAAAAAAATGACAAAAAAAACGAAGAAGAAACATGAAGCCCAACTTTAGTGCGTGCTGCGAAAAATACTGTTTCCAATAATACAAAGAAACTGAAATTAGAGACTTTATTGTCCCGTTGTGAGGATATTTAATATTTTTGGCCATGTTTGAAATTTTACGAACAAAAATTGTAGGAAAGAAAAATAATTTTTTTTCTCTGAAAATTTGGAAAAAATGTTTTTTTCCTTTTTTGTAAAAATTCGAAATTTAAAAAAAAGATAGGAAATTTTGATTTTAAGGGAAAAATTGGCTCCCGACAGGGCGCCAGTAAGGAACTAGCCAGAGCCTAATTTGCTTATATTCCAGTAGTGGACAGTAAAAAATGATTTCTTTTTTAGGAATTCAAATTTTAATAAAACAAATCGAAAAATTAGTTCCAGGGAAGAAATAGGCTCTGTCAGGGCGCTAATAGGGAACTAGCCAGGGCCTAGTTTGATTATAAACTAGTAATGGAAGCCTAAAATCTAATTTCTTCTTCAGAAATTCGAATTTTAATTTTAAAAAATTTAATCTTGGGGGAAAATAGGCTCTAACTGGGCGCTAACAGGGAACTAGATAGAGCCAAGTTTGCTTATATTTCAATACTGGTAGGTAAAAATTTCTATTTTAGTAATTCGAATATTAATAAATGAAGGTAAAAATGTAATTCGGAGAGAAAAAGGCCCTGACAGGGCGCTATAAGGGAACTAGCCAGGGCCTAGTTTGATTATAAACCAGTAGTGGAAGCCTAAAATCTAATTTCTTTTTCAGAAATTCGAATTTTAATTTAAAAAAT